GCTATGGACAAGAGAACACATTTACAAGATATAGTGTGACAGATGTATTCGCCAATAGAACTATCACATTGTAACCATGATTAAGACATAACTTTCCATCTTTCTAAAACATTCTGTCTTGCTCCATCCCATAAGAGCCCTCCACACTATTGTACATTTTTCTAAATCTCATATAAACGGAATCACGTGGTGCACAGTTATTTATGTGACTAACTTGATTTGGCAAAGCACCATTGTGATTCATCCATGTTGCTACTTGTAGTTTCTTCTCTTTGTCACTGAGTGATAATCCATCATATGTCAGGAGTTCTTTTTAGATTCACTATGTGCTGGAAATGTGGATTGTTTTCAGTTCTTGGCTCTTATAACATTTAGAAGCTAACATGAAACTCGCGTCCAGGTGAAATAGATGCATCCTACCGTGTGTATGTTTTTACTTGTGTGTGTAATTTCCTAGGAGTCCATATGTTAAGTATATATTTAACTTATACAGAAATGAAAATCTGTTCCCCAGTGTAGTTGAGCTATTTTGCATTCCTATCAGTAACATATGAAAGTTACACTTCACGGCAGCATTATTTTGAACATCCGAAAATGGAAACAACCCAAATGTTACTGTCAAAAAGATGGATGAATTATGTAATATATTCATTCATAAGAGACAACGAATTAACTATGGTTAGGTAAAACCAGCATGACTAAAACATACTAAGAAAAAAAAAATCAAATCACAGTAGAGTACATAGTATAAAGCTTCCAAAATAGGCTAAAGTGCAGGGAGTGGTGGGAAAACTCTAAAGGTGTTAGCCTGTTTCTTCATTTGAGGATAGAGATACTAATATTTACTTCTTTTCATTCTTTTTTTTTTTTTTTTTGAGACAGGGTTTCTCTATGTAGCCCTGGCTGTCCTGGAACTCACTCTGTATATCAGGTTGGCCTAGAGATCAGAGATCTCCTTGCCTCTGCCTCCTGAGGGCTGAGGTTAAAGGACTGCACCACCATAGCTTATGCCACCACCGCTTGGTGTTACTTTCATTCTTTAATGAACCCATTTTGCATGAAGCATCTTGTACAAATATGCATATGATATGTTCTTAGAGTAAAATTTAAGGGAGGAAAATACAATTCTGTAGTGTCCCAGATTACTTGTCTTTGAAAAGGAGAAAGTAATTGGCCTGGATCTTTGTTCTATTCTGTCAAGCGTTTTCCTAACTCTAGTATTCTGCATACTTCCTCAGAGAAGGTGCCTACTTGGTATTGAAGTAATTCTGGGATGCATTTGCATCTCTCAGAGTGGGCAGGTAGACATCTGGCTCCAGGAATATTAATGGAGGTAGTTAAGTTCATAAACTCTTGTTTATGGAAATGAGAATATAGCCAACCTGATGGCAAAAGTGGTTGGGAAAAATGATTTATTTCTTAAAATTATATCAAGAAAGTCTGTGTCCTCTATTTACTCCTTTTCCAATAGAAGTATTTAAAATTGAGGTTTACAAACCTCATGAAGTGACCTGCATATCATCGATTCTGGAGAGCCTGGCTGGCTGCTTATTGAATAAGAGGACTGCAATATTGACAGCGAAACTTTCTCACACTCCTTTCCAGGTCCTGCCATAGCAGTATAAATTCAAAACGCTGAAAATTTCACAAGATCAAAGCACCAGTGAGCAAGATGGAAAGGTGGCAGGAAATATGTTTTTCATGTGTTTTAGTAATATTGAGAAAATGGAAAATGAGAGCTCTCCAGTGGATGCGTTTCCATCTTCCTCCTTTTACATCGTTACTGAAGGCCACATAATGTTACAGTTATAAACTCGTCATGATTTTTATTATAAGTGTATTACACAAGATAAACTTGATGTGAATGCAACTTGTTTCCTATAAGAAAAATCTTTGTTAACAACTTGGTTTTGAAATTTCTTCCCAGTTGGAAATTACACGTGAATTATGAGAGAAATGGTCCCAAATATAGAGGACTAGGATGTGAGCATCTAATTTATTAAATTATATTACAAATCACTAGCAATCAAGTGCTTATGGAATTGCTATTAAAATATAAGCTTCACTAAATGAAAATGTCTTTAATATCAGTCACGAGTTTGGCTTCCTTCAAGTCTGAGCCAAGGTGCTGAATTAAAATTAATCACTTTAAAAAGTGTAGTAGCTGTTCCACTGTGCTCTGTGTTACTTAGAAACCCCAAACTACAGTTGAAGAAGACACAGGAAGGTGGTATTGGTCATGTCAGTTATATCACATATGAAAAATAGCTGAAGATGTGTGGATCACTGGAAGATGTGTTACCTATTCCTTAATTGATCATCACTGCTAAATGATCTTCTCAGTTACACCACAAGCTTGGATTTCTTTGTGTGAGTTAAATTACAGTTAAGACCTACCCCCAGGCAAAGGGTGTGATTAAATTTATTTATTTATTTACTTTTGTTTTGTGTGTATTGCTGTCTTGCCTACATGTGTGTCTGTGTGAGGGTGTCAAAACCCCCGGAACTGGAGTTACAGACAGTTGTGAGCTGCCATGTGGGTGCTGGCCCCTCTACATTTAAAAACATTTAATCTGGAACACAGGTTTAAAATTTTGAATTTTTTACATTATTGTATGTGTATGGATAGTTTGCTTTCATGTAGGTATGCGTACTATGTGCATGCCTGGTGTCCAGCAAGGCCAAAAGAGGGCATCGGGTACCCTGGAACTGGAATTGCACATGGTTGTGAGTCACCACGTGGATGCTGAGAATTGAATCACGGTCCTTTGGATGAATAGCCAGTTAGCTCTTTAGTTTAGCTCTTAACAGCTGAGCCGCCTCTCCAGCCCCAAAGGCCTGCATTTAAACAATACACTGTGTTGAGTAAGTGTGTCCTAACAGAAATGCATGACAGAGAAGAACTGCTCACCCATGGCTGGGAACAAGACATTCTAAACAGTTCTCAACCTGTGGGTCATGACCCCTTTGTGGGTCCAATGACCCTTTCACAGTGGTCACCTAGGACTATCACAAGATACAGGTGTTTACATTATGGTTCATTTACAGTAGCAAAATTACTGTCATGAAGTAGCAATGAAAATAATTTTGTGGTTGGGGGTCACCACAACATGAGGAACTGTATTAAAAAGTCACAGCATTAGGAAGGTTGGAACTGCTGCTCTAAAGACTTTCTTGGTGGCCAAATAATAGACAATATGTGCAAATTGTTAGATCCTGAAAGTTCTGCCTTATAAGGCAACAGGGTGCTTACAAATGTGGTTAATAATTTTGATATGAGATATCCTGAATCACTCATGTGGGCATGATATTTAATCATAAATGTCCGGATAAGGAAGAAGCTGTGATGGCTATTCTTAGTTGTCAAGTTGACTACATCTGAAATTAACCAAAACCTAAGTCACCGGGCATACCTATGAGGGATTTTTCTTGACTACAAAAACAAAAATTATGAAAAACCCACCCTAAATCTGAACCTGGACCTTCTAAGGTGGGAAGATCCATCTTAAATCTGGACCATGCCCTTTGGTGGCAGCCTAGGTAAAGGACATGGAAGAAGGAAGCTTGCTGTCTTTGCCTGCTTGCTCTCATTCTCCTGGCAAGTCTATTCCTTCACTGGTATTAGAGCCTACTTTTGGAGGATTCTGGCATATACTGAAAAGCAGCCTTGTGGACTGAACAGCTGCTGGATTCTCAGACTCCCCATCAATAAGCATTGTTGGATTAGCTGGACCACAGTCTGGGAACCACTCTAACAAATCGTGTGTGTGTGTGTGTGTGTGTGTGTGTCTGTGTGTGTGTGTCTGTGTGTGTGTGTTATACATATGTATGTATAGTCATTTTATCATTCATATATATATGTATATATACATTCTATCAGTTCATACGTATGTACTTATATGCATGTATACATGGAAGAAGGAAGCTTGTCACTCTCACTGGCAAGTTTATTCCTTCACTGGCATTAGAGCCATATATATATATATATATATATATATATATATGTGTGTGTGTGTATATATATATATATATGTGTGTGTGTATGTGTATATGTATATGTATATATTCATTCTATCAGTGATATTCTATCAGTGATATTCTATTAGTTAAGCAGAGTCAAAGGGAACTTTGACAGAGCTAGTAGAAAAGAAAGCAGGGATACAGAGGAGAAATCACTGTGACTACAAAGACCATGTTGGGCCATAAGCCAAGGAATGCAGGCAGCTGCCAAAGGCCGAGGAATACAGGCAACTACCAGGAGTTAGAAGCGAATCAAGAAGGCTCTTCTAGATTCTTCAAAGACGGTAGACTTGAGGGTTTTGACTGTTGACCATTAACATTGAACTACTGGCCTCCCAAATCGGCAGAGAGTATTTCTTGTTTTCAATGGCCAAGGTTGTGGTGCTTTGCTCTAGTGGACTTGGAAACAAGCACAGAACCACTGTCCAGACTTTTGCTATCCTTTATTCAGATCCATGCAACTGACTGTTTTAAAATGGATAGATTCAGAAGAACTTAAGATTTATCTGTTAATTTTCCCCCAGTGGCTGTAGAGATTGGTCAGTGGCCCAGAGTACTTAGTGTTCTTGCAGAGGACCCAAGTTCAGTTCCCAATGCTCATGCTCATGTCAGGCAGCGCCAACTGTTCCAGTGGTTCCCATGCATTCTCCTGGCCTCCAGGGACACATACATGACATACACTACACACACACAGACATACACAAACACAGACATACACACCCTTACATTTTTCCCAGAACAGGAGATCACTAAAATGTGTTTCTACATGGATATTTGTTCTCTGAAAATTAACGAGTTGAAAAACAAAATGCTTCAATGGAGCAGATATTAATTCATGTAAGAACAAAACATGGCCATAGGCAGGCCATCATCTACCTGAACAATGAAAAGCCTATTTTATGTTTATTTAAATGTCAAAGCCCAAAATCTACAGCTAAAGAAAGCTTTTTTGTTTTTGATTTTTTTTTCTCTCTTTGCAGAAAGAACACAAGAGCTTGCCTGCTGGGAAGTGTGTTTACTACCCAACCACACATATCTTCTTTCCTCCTTCAATTTTTCTTCTGTGAATTTTCTGCAACTGGCAGAGGAAACACAGACTGATATGGGACTCTTTCCAAATCACTCTAGTTTCCAAAGCTTCAGTGAGATTTGCAAAGGCATCACAAGTGGATTTCTGATGTGCTCCTTGTGTTTGGTTTGCGAATCTAAAGGAGACATGGATTTCATTTCTCAGGAACAAACATCGAAAGGTAATCACAAAGGAATAGAGTAACATTTGCCAAGCCTAAATTAAGTCATTCTGAAAAAAGCATCCCAGGGTTGAAGAGCTAGCTCAGTTGGTAAAGCACTTCTCCCCCTATAATGCAAAGATCTGAGTTTGAACACCAGAACCCACTGAAAAAGTGGGCGGTGGTGATGCACACCTTTAACCCCAGCACTCCAGAGGCAGATGCAGACAGATCTCCATGAGTTTAAAGCCAACCTGGTCTACTCAGTGAGTTCCAGGACAGCCAGAGATACATAGAGAAACCCTGTCTCCCAAACCCAAAAAACAAAACGAAACAACAACAACAAGAAAAGTGGGCACAGAAGCTGGAGAGAGAAAGAGGCTCAGCATTTGAGGCCTTTCAGAGGACCAACATCCACATGGGACATCTTGTAACTACCTGTAACTCTGGCTCTGGGAGATCTGATACACTCTTCTGGCCTCTGCAGGGACTGTTATTGTGTGTGTATGTATGTGCATAGAGATGCATAATAAATATTAAAGAAAAGCAAAGCAAACACTGGTATGCTGAAGAGCCCGTTTCTAATCCCAGAGATGCTGAGGAAGGAGGTAGAGATGGGCAGATCTCTGGAAGCTCACTGGCCAGACAGCCTGGGGTACTTGATAAAGTTCTAAGTCAATGAAAGACCCTGCCTTAGATACCAGGCAAAAGGTACCTGAGGAACAGCACTCAAGGTTGTCTTATGACTTTCATACACATGTGCATGCCCAAATCTACTGTGCCCCACCCTCCTACCCCATGCAAGCATCCCATTTTAACATCTAGTGACACTGGAGCACTTAGAGGTGTGGCGTTTGATGATCGAGTTCACAGGGCTTTGTGATGTTGATCATTTTAGTTTAATTTATTGAAGACAAAATACTTGTTCATAAAACCCATCAGAAGATCGTTACATGCACTTGCTAGCTAAAAGTTTAGCTGGATATTCTTCTCAGAGGTAGTGATTGTTTAAAAAGCCATTCTAAGTAAGTACCTAAGTGTTCACCTACTGAGTAAGAGTTGTCATTTTGTCTGGCTCTTCAGTGGCCCTCTTGAGGGCAATGTCTTTGCTTACTACCACATCTCTCCTTTCAGCATTATGCCCGATGTAAATCATAGTAGATACTCAATAAATATTTGTTGAATGGAGGAAGGAGCAAACAAAAGAATAACTATGTATTCTCTGCAATGCCTAATGGACAATTGCATGCCCTTATAGCTTCTACTACTAACTTGATATAAACCTAGTTATTCTGGGAGAAGTGATCTCAACTAAACGATGGCCCAGATCAGATTGGCCTATGGTCACATCTGTGAGTCATTTTCTTAATTACTACTTGATATGGTGGGTTCAGCCCACTGTGGGTGGAACAATCCCACTTGGGTAGTCAGAGACACATAAGAAGAATAACTGAGCAAGCCAGGGGTATCCAGCCAGTAAGCAATATTCCTCCATAGTTTCTGCTTCAGTGTTTGCCTACAGGTCCTGGCTTTGAGCTCCAGCTTTGGCTTCCCCAACTGACAGCCAGTAATCCATAAGTTAAGTAAACCCAAGTTGCTTTTGATCATGGAGTTTAATTGAAGCAACAGAAAACAGAAAGAACATGCATTTAAGAGATTCACATATACAATATAGTTAATTGAACTGAATCAAACTGATCACTGAGAAACAAGCAATTTATTCACAACTATAAAATATGCTGGTGACCTCAAGCCACCACCACCATCGCCGTCATCGTCATCATCTCCTATTCAGCAGAGGTGGTCCTGTGTCACTAGTTACTGAACTTTTTTCATTCTTTGAGAATAGTAACAAGACTTCTAGTATTGGCTTTGGTCAAAAGTCGTATTTCTTCAGTCTTATAATCACCCTAAGATTCTGCCCTGAATCTACAGAAAACAAGTAGGAGTGATACCTCTACAATGATGGAAGAATAGGAAATATTTTAAAAGCAGGTGGCAGGTGGCTGGTAGACACTAACACTGTGGTGCCTCAAACATAAGTGAGCAGGGCTTTGAGATGTGTCACAGTCACTGGCTAGGTAACAAATCACCCCATGGACAGTGGCTTGGAATGCAGTAATCCCCTTTCCTTTCTCTCTTCTTTTCCCTTCCCTTTCTATTTCTCTGCTATTCTTCATCTTTGTTCTCCCTTACTCTGCTGCTCCCTCTCTCCCTCCCTTCCTCAAGTTCTCTCTGGATCAGAAATTAGGAATGGGCACAGATGGACTTTTCAGGCTTGGGGCGTTTCTTCTGTTGCAGTTAGTGAGTAGATGCCACAACTCAGGGGAACCAGAGCAGCTGGGGACAGCTGAGGTCTCTCGTTTCACACAGTCTCCTGGGAAAAATGAAGATCTCTCTCTCTCTTTCTTAAAAAAAATATTTATTTATATTTTTTCTGTGTAAGAGTTTTGCTTTTGTCTGTGCACCACAGGCATGCAGTGCCCACAGAGGTCAGAAGAGGACATTCGGTCCTCTGGGACTAAAGTCACAGATCGGGTGAGCTGCCTTGTGGGTGCTGGGAATTGAACCTGAGCCCTCTGGAAGAGCAGTAAGTGCTCTTAACTGCTGAGCCATCTCCCCAAACCCCACCTTTCCTTTTTGCATTTGTCTTAGGGGATATTCAGGTTGTTTCCCTATTTTAGTTATCGTAGCTGTGGGAATTCAAATATTTTTTCAAGATTCCAATTTCAGCTCTTCTGGATACATGCCAGAAAGTGAGCTTGCTGGAGTGAATGGTGTTTACATGGATCTCTTTTGGAGGAACTCAGTTAGTATTTCCCATATCTGACTTTGGTGCTTATATTTCTATGGTGATGAGTGATCAACATGTTTCCATATACCCACTGGCCATCTGTATATCTTTTATGGATGTAGACCTCCAAAAGTTTCTACAGAATAACATGGTTCGCTTCTCCCTCTACATGTGCATGCACACATGTACTCACAGTCACACACATCAGTTTACCTGTGCACACACCATGCAGATGTGTGGACACAAAAACACACATAGGGAAAATACCATGTGAGGATGAAGGAAGAGACCAAGGTTGTGCCTCTGTGAGATGAGAGCCGGTGGTTGCCAGCAGTCACCAGCAGAGAGAAACAAGGGTAGATCCTTCTCCACAGTCCTGCAGGATCCAAGCCTGCCAGCACTTTCATCTTTTACTTCCAGCCTCTACAACTATGAGACAAAGACAGGGGCTGGAAAAATGGCTCAGCAGTTAAGCGCACCAGCTGCTCTTCCAGAGAACCTGGATTCAATTCCCAGCACCCACATGGCTGCTCACAACCAATTGCAACTCCAAACCCAGGGAATCCAATGCCTTCTTCTGGCTTCCATGGGTACCAGGTGCTCTGCACATGGTACACACACACACACACACACACACACACACACACACACACACGAAAACACCCATATGCATAAACATTTCTAAAAAGAAAAAGAAGTATGAGAAAATTTCTGTCCTTTAAGTTATTCAGTTTATAGTACTTTGTTATATTTCTAGAAAGCTTGGGCAATGTGGAGTGGAAAACATTTTGAAAAATTTGATCTGTCCCACAAATCATCAGAGTAACATGTGCGTGTTCTCCCAGAGCTGCCAATCCTATTTTACCCCTATGGTTTTCATGATTAAAAAAAATTACCTTGAAAATTATTTGTAATATCCATAGCTTTATTTTCTATTGTGTTTTTATAGAAAAGAAGAGATTTAGGGCTTTGCTTGTTAAATCTTTTTTTTTTTTTTGAGACGGGGTCTTGCTGTGTACCTCTCTGAGGTCTGGTACAGATGACATAACATTCACTGTCCTCAAAGTTGTAGCTGTCCTACCTCAGCATCTTCAACAAGATTATAGGCATGCACCATCAAGCCCAGTGAGACTTAGCTTGGATTGTGTGTCCTTGTTAGATACTGCCGCTCTGCAAATAACCTGTCTTTACCTCTTTCTAGGTCTTATCACAAGGGGATCAGTGGGAATGAAGGCAAATGACTTTTGCTCACCCTGTCAGCATTTTAATGTCACGGTTGCTCTTCTGGCTGACCCTATGAAGGAATACAACACTACCTGTACCCCTGAATCCCACCCTGGAAAATCTACAATTGTAGAAGAAAATCCAACCAGGGGAAATTCTCTAAACCACACTTGCAGAATTATGCAAAACACAAGTAATTGTACTCATGTCTGCTTGCACTTAGCGATGGATGTGAAATGTAAGTGTGGAAGGAAATAAGGGGAAAAAGGAGAAGTTGGGTACACACACTTGAAATTGAGAAAGGGGTGTGAAATCAAGAAGTCAAATGGCTGAAGAATTTCATTGGTAATATAATACCGCCCAAAATAATATTGATCTTTTTATCTGTTTGCTTTTCTTTCAAATTGTATTTCTTAGATTTATTTATTTATTTTATGAGCATCGGTATTTTGTTTTGCATGTCTGTATGTCTGTGTGAGGGTGTTGTGTCTCCTGGAACTGGGGTTACGGACAGTTGTGAGCTGCTATGTGGGTCCTGGAAATACAAACCTAGTTCCTCAGGAAGAGCAGCCAGTTCTCTTAACCACTGAACCCTCTCTCCAGCCCCCTCAGGGTGTGTTTTGATGGGACTCAGCCATCAACTGAGACAGAGGCGGTATGTGTGGGTTGTGATTTGAGAGACACTAGAAAGGTTCTCTGTCCTAGGGTAACTGCCGAATGCCTGCTGTCTGTACTTGATGGGAAGCCAACACACTAAAGTACTCAGAGGTGGGAGTTCTTTTAAAAGGTGAATATCCACGCCTGATAAACTATTAAAGTTGCCTTCGAACCAGGCTAAAGTGTATTCTCAGAGCTGACACAGTCTTGGGGGAAGGGGTTTTCGGATGGGATGCTGTGAGGATTTGGCACTTGGGTGGGGGTGGAGGGGTGATTATTGGCTGATTCTGAAGGGAAAGACGTTTAAATTCTGTTCTGATCAGATTTCTTGCACCCTGTTCTGAACTCCACGGTTAATGTTTTCTGGTAAGCAGTGTGGCCCCCACCCACCCATAAAATCTATTATTAGAAAGCATTTCATGACACATTCATTCCGTGAGTGCCTTCTGTATATCAAGCATCATGACCAGATGGGGACCCAGAGTCAGATGAACATAAAACCAGAAGGAAAAAAAATCACACAGAAACACGTGCCCTCCTCCCTCCCTGACCCCCAAGTGGCAGGTGCTACCACAGAACTGTTTGCTAGGCATTTTGGTACTCCTAAAATTTGGAAGCCTTCTCCATTACTTTACAGTGCTTTTCTAAAGAATAACTATTTTAAAGGCAATTAACATTTTAAATTATGTTTATAGCAAACATAGGTATGCATAAGGTATAATCTCCTCAAATGATACAAGCAGCTGGAGACCAAGTGTTCAGTGACCGGCATCTCTGGGGACGTTTCCCATCCAAGCTGGCAGAAACATCTCCCTGGCCACTCACCAGCTTAGCCCAGTCCTCTGTCTCTCTCTGCCTCCCATTGCTGCCCCATATCTCTTGATCTTGTTGCACCTTTGTTAATTTGAAGGCATATTTGGGGGTCGCATGGCCCATGATCAAGATGATTAATCGAACGTAGCTCTGATGCTAAAGCTACTTTGTGGCACTCTTGACATACAATAAGAAAATTGATACTGGCATCGCTTGGGAGTGAAGTTAAATGCCAGGATTTTGAATTAAATGGATCCCTGGGAGCCACTTGGCCAATTTCCTCATTTAATATATTGTAAAAGTGTTCAGGAAAGCAAGTGTCCCTGTTACAGTTAAAGCAGCAAGTAGCTTTTCCGTTAAAGGCATATACCACCTCTGCCTCTTATCTGAAACTCTGTCTCATTTTGTTGATATTTTTATTATATATATATATATATATATATGTATGTATGTATGTATGTATTTGTGGGTGTGTGTATGCCATGGCATGTGAGTAGAGGTCAAAGGACAACTCAGAGGGTTGTCAAGTGCCTATGCCTGCCACCTTTATTGATTTTTATACTGACTATTTTTTTTTTAAATTTTTACAGCTGTCACTTGTTCCGTGAAGATCACTTGGTACATTTTAGTGATATTAGTGTTTATGCTCAGCATCATCCTCATTATCCACAAAATACTTGAAGACCACAGGAGAATGCAGAGGTGGCAGAGTAAGTACTGAGAAACAAAACCCATTGTTGTATGTATGGCTTTGCCCAGGGAAACATGTAACAAACGCCTGCTCACCCTAGTTCTGTCAGAAGCTTACTGTGTACCTACTGTGTGTAAATGCTGGTTCTGGAGAATCTGAAAGTCTGAAAGTACAGGGGAGACAGCAGCACCAGCATTCACGGGCCTTTCTCTACATGGAGAGGAAGAAGGACAGGGTGAAAAGGAGGATTTGTCAGGATGGTGGCTGGGAGGGCTTAGCGGAAGTGAGGGTAGAGAGGGGCAGAGGAAGCTGATGACACTTGCAGAGTTAGAGACCCCCTAGCAGGATGGCCTCTAGGTGACGATCTGAGTGCAAACAACCCTTAATAAGCATAGGGGGTGCTGGTAGAGTTTTGGGTGGGGTAGAACTAAAAGGAGTCTTTTAAGTCAGGACGTTTGGAGCAGTGTTAAACAGCTTTAATAGTTGCTATGACCTGACATTCTCCTATCAGAACAGATTGTAAGTGTACGTGGGCATATAACGGCTGCATATCAGACTTGATGGACAGTCAGATAGTGGAACCAGGATGTATCCTTGGTGCACAAAAGGACCTTATGAACACATCCCCCATGGAGGGATACTGCCTTAACCTAGAGACAGGAGAGAAGCCCTAGTCCCTACTTCACATGACCCCAACTGGATGGCATCGCCCTACATGTGGAATTGGGATGGGGGGATGGGAGGGGAGGGTGGTCAGGGTGCATGTGAGAGGGCAGAGAGGGTAAAAGGGAGGGAGGGAGAGGGAACTGGGATCGACATGTAAAATAATAAATTAAAAAAAATAAAAGTAGTTGAAAAGCATCACATGATGATAGGCACTAAAGACATACTGACTCAAGTCAGATCCTCATATTGCCAAGTATAGCATTGAGTGAGTGACCATCACTAAACATGGCTTTCCTCAACTATCCTATGGGGTACTTGCCTCTGCCACATGGAGCAGGGGTAAAGGCTGAAATAAAGAGACCACACAAGGAGTTGAAAAGTGTCAGGGCACAGTTAGTTAATTTTCTCCCTCTTTCTGGTTTAGATGGATTTCTCTCGGTAATAGCCCTGGCTCTCTTGGAATTCACTTTGTAGTCCAGCCTAGCCTCGAACTCACAGAGATCCATCCACCTCTGCCTCCTGAGTGCTGGGATTAAAGGCCTGTTCCACCACTATCCAGCTTTGTCTTTTTTTTGGGGGGGTGGCACAGCTGATTATCAGTGAAGGATTGTAGTATGGCTGGGCACATTCACTTCTTAGCTCTTATGTTCTTTGACAGGCAAGGTTGTTAGTCACTACAGTAACAGAATAAGTAATGGTCAGTTGCAGACAAGCATTTGGGTTAAGATTTTGTTTCAGGGGTTTTTGAAAGTTGATGGGAGATGTCATACAGTAAATATGTTTCTCTTATTGGTTAATGAATAAAGCACTGTTGGCCAATAGGAAAGCAAGATAGGCGGGACTAGAAGACAAGGAGGATTCCAGGAAGTAGTAGGGAGGGGTCAACATGGAGAGACTTGAGAGAGCAGAAGGCCGGACCCTCTCTCTCTGGTAAGATGAGACCATGTGGAAACACTTAGATTAGTAGAAATTGGATAATTTAAGACAGAGCTAGCTGATAAGAAACTAGTAACAGGCCAACAGAATTATATCTAATACAGCTTCTCTGTGTGTTATTTGGGTCTGGTGCGGCTGGGGGACCAGACCGGAGAGGGAAAAAAAACATACTCATAACAGAAAGTAGTTTCTGAACAAGTCTTATCTCTGATAGATAGCTTAGTAATAAAGGCCTGCAGTGTCATGGTCAATGACACATCCAAGTTGTGTACTTGTAGAAAGACTGTTTTCCTTAATGACCAAAGTGTGTGTCCTGGATGGTCTTAACCATCAACTTGACACAGCCTAGAATAACCCCAAAAGAGGGTCTCAAGGGAGGGGTTTTCCCAGTTGGATTGGCCTTTGGTTGTGTTTGTCAGGTGATGAGGTTGTCATAATTTGGAATTGATGTAGGAGGGCCAAGCCTACCATGGGTATCACCATCCCTAAGCAGGTGGTTCTGAACTGTGTAAAAAAGCTAGCTGAGTACAAGCCAGTCCCAAGTGCAGTCTCTGTGGTTTCTGCTACACTCCGCTGCTGTGAAGTGAGTTCCCTGGCAGGAGGTCACACAGTGCAGAACAGTAAGCAGGACTGACTTGATTCCCCTCAATGTTTGGCTGTGACCCGGAAGTAAAAGACAAATAAAGCCTTTCCCTTTTTTGTTTTGGTATTTGTCATGGACACCGAATGAACTAGAGAAGTATATAAACAGTACTATTTTTGTTTGTTTGTTTGTTTTTTGCATGAAAAGGAGGAAAACTCCCAAACTCAGGAAAGTTAGCAATTTTGTCCAAACCTACACAATTAATATGATGCCAGAGTAAAACCTTGGTATCTTCTAGGTATTGAAATCTTTGTTAGTTTAGGCAAATGTGTGGTAGCTGAAAATAATTCATACTCTTATGTTTCTTGAACTATTTTTCATATGCAAATGCAGACTGAAAAAGTAAGAGACAAGGTAGGAAAATGCCTAGAAAGACACAGGTCACAGTGGGAAGTACATTAAATTCTTTCAAACGTTTAACCAGATGACAAATTCGATGGTTTTCAAAGGTTTTCCTTGCAAGTTTAAGCATATAAAGCAATGAAAAATATCACAATACTCATGCCACTAGATAGAATTAATCTGTAATGCTTTCTAAATATTCTGTATGTCATATCCATATGATTCATAGATAAAAAGGGTATTTTGTAAATACAGGCTGGTGCTTCTCATTAGCAGATGGGACATAACAGTATTTATGGTAGTGGAGAAACGATTAGTTTTAGAAAGAGTCTATGGTGTCTTTTGTCATTGCTATGTGGCTTTTTGTTTGTTTTGAGACAGAGACTCACTATGTGGCTCTGGCAGGCTTAGAACTCACAGTGCAGACAAAGCTGACCTTGAACTCACTGAGATGTATCTGCTTCTGCCTTCAGGGTGTTGGGGTCAAAGATGTGTGCCCACAAGCCTACAAAAGCCCTTGGTGCCTGTTGCCCCACACCCCCTTGATGCTGCAGACTGACCCCCTGGTGAACTATCCTATCTCTGTGATAATCCTTAAAACTAGCACAAGGAAAGTAATGAGAAAGGGACTTTCGAAGGGATTCAGACTCAGGATCCTTCTGCCTCTGCTTCTGTCTCCCAAGTGCTGCCGTTAGAGGCAGAATGTACCCGTTTGTCATCTAAATGTTCAATTTTTTTTTCTTGGAATAGGTCATAAATACAAAGCTACATCCGTTCTCTTAAGAGGAAGTGACTCTGAGGAGCTGAGTGCTTTGAAGATGAGGGTTATTCCAGGTGAGTTCTGCAGCATCGGACAGCTCAGGACGGGGAATTCCCAAACCACGCCTTCTCAGTACAGTGCAAACTCGAGATCCGAGTTCAGAATAAAGCAACTGTGGGCAAATGAAATCCAGCTTAGTATGTCTCATTATCAGGAGACAGTTACAATCAAAGCCACCTCCTTAAATAATAGAAAGTTCGCCTAATTGGCAAGAAGATGCTCTTGCCAGTAGGCAAGGGAGAGAACGCAATGGGGGAATGAGCCTGGGATTTATTTTTAAATGAGACAAGATACCATTATTTCTCAGAATTGCAATACATAATTGTAGAGTGGGCAGAGCTTCTGCTGGAGCCTTCACTTCACAGGGAGTCGTTGTGCAAAGAGAACTTCTAATAGCCTCAATTAAAAAGCCCCCTGTCCTCTGCCGAGAAGCAGAGAGGGAATAAGGTGCCCTAATTAGAGCAGCTAAGAAGTCTGTGAGCACAGATGCTCTAGTTCCAACTTCATCTCTTGCTAATTGTGAGGCCTCCTTTAGAATTCCTGCTGCCAAACCACATTAAAAAGAAATACTATGACAGGCCCTTTTCCTTTACCAAAGAGAAAGGATATTTAAAAAAACTGGAAATCCAACCTAGGTAGGGCCTTGGGCAAACTAGGCAAGCACTCTACACCACTGAACTATGTTCCCTCGGCAGGATTCCACTAAATTGCTCAGGCTGGCCTTGAATTCACTGTTTATCTGAGGCAGGGCTCAAACTTGTGACCTTCCCACCTCAATATTATAGGCCTGTGTCACAAGGCCTTTTAGTTTTCATTTTAATCTCCTCCAGTCTGTTCTCTTTCTTTCTCTGTCAGACAAAGTCTTACTATGTAGCCCAGGCTGACCTCAAGCTTATATAGTTCCTCTGTCTCAGCCCCTCCCCATGTAGTAGGGATATGCTCATAGACCTGGAAAGAAAGAGTGTTTTTGACTCCTTGAAAAACCGCAGAATCGAGTGATATTAATTATATTCTTTGTCTCCCATGGGTGAACAGCCCCTTTGCACTTGGTGAGAAGCTTACACAAAAGGAAACTTCAGATCTGGTGTGTAAACTCTTTTTCAAACATGAGAGGAAGCTAGACAACTCCTTGCCTTCCACTGAGGGCAGCATCAGCCACGTGGACACATCCAGCATTTTACTGGGGACCGTGTACCCAAGGCTTTTGTTAGCTACCAGCCACACCAGCCCTCAGTCTGGGAACAGATTAGCCTGGGTGCACCTAAAGATCTCAGTCTAAATATTTTAGACTTCCTAGTTGGAATCAGCAAATTATTACACACTAGTTAGAAGATTCTCAAAATCAGCTGTCAGAAGTCAAAGTGTATAGAAATTTTGAGTGGCTCACAAAGAATTCGTTTAATTAATGATATTAAAAAAAACCCTATAGTGGTCTGAAGGAGAAAAATAGTTTTTGTAAAGGGGGAAATGATGATTCTCTGTTAATCTCTCTTGTCTAGTATACCTGCCCATACCCCAGGAATGGTTCAACCCAGTTCTGCTGAGTTCTGTGATTGCCTGAGGAAGCCTAGCCATTTTTTGTTCCCTAGCCATAATTCCCAGCACAGCAGTCTTGTCTGAGAACAAGTCAATTGTTCCCCTGTCGCCTTAAATAATTGCGGGTGTCACAAATTTTAAGGCCTGGCTAGCTACAAAATGAACTTCACAAGTTATATTTATGAGCCTGTGGTTTTCCTGCACCCACAAAAAGCTGTCTCAGGTTTGTCTTCTCTGTAATGGCTCTCACTAAAACTCCTCTGGCTTTATTACCAGGCATACAGTAGTAATGTTCAGGGAAGATCCAGGGTGATGACCCCTTTTTAAAAAAAGATAAAGAATTCCTTTGAGGTTTAACATCTTCAAAAGGAAAAGTAGTAGGTCCTTCTTATTTGTATTATTAAACCTGAATGCCCTCCTTCCAAATTCTAAGCTGCTCTTTCTGAGAGAGAAGTGGAAAGAAAATCATATCTCCCCTGAGTGCTGTCTTTAAGGCTGTTCTTTGTCATGATGGATTACAAGCAGCCTGGGGAAGGTAAGGGAAAATGTGACTGTCTGAGCCTCTGGAAACGCAGTAACATGAAGAGAAGAAAAGAAATTCTAAAAAGCGATGCCTGTGTGTTACAGTCAACAGAGCCTGTTGTTGGTGCTAGCCACTGGTTGTATTGCCACATAAATACAGACACAATGAGATGTAGAGGGGCTCATCCATCCCCAAATCATCCATCCTCTAAAAAAAGAATCAAGGAGGACTCACCAGGATCCTGTCTGCACAGAGCCTGACCCATATTAGAGCCACGTGGAAAAAGTGTGCCTCTGATAGTTCCCTCCTTGCCTGGGAAACATGATGGCTCGTGATTGTTTCAGTTGTTATTGTCACATGAGTGATGACTTTGCTTTACCTATCCTTGTATCCTTCACTGTAGCATAGCTTTTGGGATGCTATTCATTCATGATAAAAGTTTATGAAACAGCACAGCCCTAGGGAGAAGTGGGTATAGAAAAGGGAAGGTGAGCAAGAAATGAATCTTGCTGGCTATAATGGCACACAACTTTAAACTCAGCACTTGGGAGCAAGAGACAGGCTGATCCCTGTGAGTTCAAGGCCAGACTGGTCTACACAATGAATTCTAGGATGACCAGAGATGCATAGTGAGACCCTGTCTTGAAAATACAAGAAATAAATTTAAAAATTAGAAAGAAATAATGGGAAAGGTAAGCATGAACACACAGAACAAGAATGATAAGAAAGAACATAATTCTCTTCATTGAAAACATGGGCAGCAAGTGTTGTAGAAATGCTAAGGATATCAAAGAATAATGAAAAACAATGACCATTTTAAGAAAGGCCCACAGAGTCCAAACAAGAGTGTTGGATCACCAAGAGTTAGAGTTACAGGTGGTTGTAAGCTGCCTGATTCAGGTTCTGGGACCCAAATCCAGGGCCTTTGGAAGAGCAGTGAGTACTGCTAACTTCTAGGGTATCCCTCTAGTGCTTGAGGAAGGCATCCATCTTGAGAAATATTAGTTGCTTTTTGTCGCTGTGGTGAATAGGATCAGAAACAACTTGCAAAAGGAAGAATTTACTTCCATGTATGGTTCCAGAGGGATGAGAGTCCATCATGATGGGAAGAACCAGTAACAGAGGCAGGCACAGCAGCAGAAGCAGGAAGCTGAGCGCTCACATCTTCAAACCCAAAGCATGAAGCAGAAAGAATAAATTGGAAAAGGTGCAAGTTTGTAAATTCTCAAAGCCTGCCTCTTGAGGAAGCACTTTCTCCAGCAAGGCCTTACTGCCTAAATATCCCCCAAAGAGCACCATCAACTAGGGACTGAATGTTTACATATGTTCCCATTTAAACCACCATGGTGGCCTTAAAATGTATCTCCAAGGGCTACAGCTTTTGCCTAGCATAAGAAGGATCTTAGATTCAACCTCAAGCAATAAAAACAAAACAAATCAAACAACCTTTAAAACATCATCAACCACAAAATCCTCTAGAAATGATTATTTATGGGTTGACTGGATAGAGAAGGCAAGACTAAGGACATAGGAAGAGGCCTAGGACATAAAGAAAGGGTTGCAATCACTGTGAAGTCACTTAGACTGACTGCAGAAGACTAATCGAAGAAGAGAATCAGCAAGTTGCCTGTAGAAGCCTTAGGAAAATTAAAGAACTTGATATTAGTATATAGACAAGAGTTTATGAAACCAAGAAGCCAAACAATACAGCCCAAAGTCATAGCCTGGAGATAGGATGGAAAGAAGGTACTTCCTGGTATCTCCTCTTCCTGGTATCTCCACTGTTGGGTGTGTGCTGTCTTTCCCTGGATCACACACCCAAGGACAAGCATCTGGGGGGAGAGATTGTCATCTCTTTGGATTTCTGAGTTCTTTTTTTAAAAGTTTTAAAGTTTATTTTTGTGTGTGTGTGTGTGTGTGTGTGTGTGTGTGTGTGTGTGTGTGTGTGTGTGTGCGTGTGTACCTGCCTACTTTTCTGTATGTGTACTATGTTCATGCATTGCCTATGGAGGCCAGGAGGCAGCATCAGATCCCGTGAAGCTGGAGTTACAGATGGTCATGAGCTATTTAATGTGAGTGCCAGGAGCCTAACCTGGGTCATCTACAAGAGCAGCAAGGGCTCTTAATTGCTGAACCATCTCTCCAGCCACTGCCTTCTGTGTTCTTGAGAGGACTCGTGAGATGGTCACCTGATTTCTGGGCAGCCATTATGTAATATCTACATCAGGTTTCTGCATCACTGTTTTCACTCACTCCAGCTGCCTGAAGGGGAGACAGACTCATTCCATGTCATGCCTCAAATGGTGAAATTGTCAAAACTCTAAGCTTGTCTCCTTCAATTCTCTAACAAAGTTTAACTGAACACTGACCACCTGCCAACAACCATCACAGCAAACCTTGGTATTCTAGACACAGTTCTTCCTCAACGGGGGCCCCAACAGCTAGAGAGAATCTCCTTCAGGTTGCCTCAGGATAAGGCTGCCTTGTCACACCAAGAATTGTGCTGCTATCTGTGCCGTAATTTCACACAAATCAATTTACTTAATTTCATATGCATCTCACTCTTCTTCTAATGAGAAAATGGAACCCTGGAGAGTTTATGTAACTGGTTTTCTGGCTAAAGCAACTAGTCCCACATGAAGCTAAGATAGTGGAACTCTATGGTAAGTAATTGATTGAAGTTACTGGTTTATAGGACGTGCCTAGCAGAGTTCTTTCCAAACAGGGTATTCTATAGCACAGTATCCAATGGGAGTGTCAACCTGGGGATCATGTTGGTTCGTATCAAAACTCTTCTTGCTTTATACATTTAACCCTGGCAATGGAGATGAAACATGTTCCCTCTAGAAACCTGTAGCGGCTTGTGTGACAATGTGAGTCCTCGCAAGAGGCATTTCAGCATTGATTAAAAGCATTTTCTCTCCTGCAGTTAGTGTGGGTGAGCTCTAAGATAACACAGAGAAGAGAAAATGGACTTTTACTGTGAAAGAGGTTGTCAGGGGGAATGGCCTGATTCATAGTACCCCAAATAAAACTAATGGCAATATAAAGTTATAATTCCCAGCATGTTTATGGCCAGGACAATAAAGAGTATGCAGGTTTCAACTTCCTGCAGAAGAGAATATAAATGGCTGGTGCCAGGTGTTTTGCAACTAAGCAAGATAACATGAAAGTTTAATTTTTACTTGCTTTACCCATAATATTGATGACTCTTAAAATTCAGGTTGGGTCCATAAAGCAGAGAAGGTTATAGATATCTGCTTGGTTATAGCTTAGATCAAAATGCAAGGGATGGCTTTCTTTGTAGGAAGAAATGCGTACGTATGAAGAGTCCACAGCTGGAATAGAATGATTTATTATAGGCATTCATCAAATGCCTCTATATGACAGTCATTCATACCAGCTTTGGAGGAACAGATTGCAGAACATATGCTTTAAACATGTCCCCTCCATCTTTCACCAAATGCTCCCTGCCTGGGCCCTCTGGCCTTCCTTTCTACCCACCGTGTACATCCCCATTCCAACCCTAACTTTGTCTTGTAATCTGGGCTTAGCCAACACTTTCTAAGACAAATAAATAATCACAAAAAAATTAAGTAAGTCAGTTACCAAAACATTTGCAAGAAGGAGGACCTGAATTCAAGAATAGCCAGGACCAATAGAAAAAAGCTGCTGTGGTGACAGAGACAGGTAGATCCCTGGGGCTCAATGGCCAGCCAACCTGACCTACTTGGGTAAGCCCCAGACTCTTTCAAAACAAAATATCAGCACAAGGTGGACAGGGCCTGAAAAGGACTGACATGTCTGACTACTACATGCATACACACATGTGCACTTGTGCTCATACATCCATGCACCTGCACACAAACATCCACCCCCACACTCCTTTCACATATATAAAAAGTAAAATGTAACTGAACAGATAGTTTGGAGGCAAACACACACACACACACACACACACACACACACACACACACACACACACACTGATGGGAAGAACAGACTTCCCAAACAAGAAAAGGCTTGGATCTGTTCTACTCTGGGAGGTGGATCTTGTGTCAGACAGGAAACCTACCGGGGCAAAGCAATGCAAAAACACAGGTTACACAAAGGGAATACAAAATTACACTGGAATGATGAAATGAGCTTAGATCCCAGATGTCCCAGATGTCAAACACCTTTGAAAAGGGATAGAAATCTTTTTGGGAAAAAAAAAAAAAAAGAAGAAGAAGAAGCATTGCATTGCAGGGCATCCTGTTCATTGACAGGACAGTGTGATAAGGCCTTTTTTCTACTGTGGAAATTCATTCTCTTTGTGAGAATCAGTCAGGTTGAAATCTATACTGGGGTTCTTTTAAAAATTTTAAAGCCCTTTGGAGGTTCCTGAAAAACATCGTTTGGGTGAGAGAATTGAAAAATTCCTAAAGAGACATTTGTGGTGTCTTAAAATATTTCTGACAGTTTGTGGTGCCTTAACTAGTGTTGGTGATTTAATAGAATTTGAAAGAAACCCTATTTTCAAGTGTAGTATGAGAGGAAAAATCTCACCTGTCTTAGCTATTCTGAAGAAGGTATTAAGATGACACACGCCTATCTGACTTTGGATGTTTATTTAGAGTCAATTTTTAGAAGTTTTGCTATTAGCATATGAGTTGCATGACTTTAGATACCAGGGGAAACCAAAGATAATGTATCACTAGAGAATATTCCAGATCAGCTATCATTTTGACAGTAGTAGCTTTCCATATTGCTGTATAGTTATACCACCTTATAAAACATCCACAGACTAGATCCATAAGCAGATCATAAGCAGCTGGCTCTTCAGCAAGAAGGACTTATTCTCCATGATAATTATTTCACTTTATGAACAGGCTCTTGATATGACCTTTAAGAAGAACGGTCTCCAAATCTCAAATTACAGAAGGCCCAAGACGTCTTGTCAAAGGTTGTCTAAGCAATTATTTGTACAGAAATTTTATTCCAAAAGACCTCACAGGAAGTCTAGAACATTCCAGCTCTCAGGCTTCTAGGAATGGAGAGTCAAATCCAATACATCTGGGACAGAGACCAAGAACCTACCTTTTTTCTTTTAAATGATTTATTTTATTTTAATTTTTTATGTGCATTGGTGTTTTGCTTACAAGTATGTATGTGTGAGGGCATAGGGTCCCCAGAACTGAAATAACAGACAGCTGTGGGCTGCCATATGTGTGCTGGGAATTTAATCATTGCCTCTGGTGACATTTAGGCAGAGACTCTGTTGGTCACTATATTCATTTCTGCTGTGTAACCAATTACCAAAAACTTAATGGCTCAACATGATGTATATGTGGTTTTTTTTTTTTTTTCTGCTTCTGTGGATTGGGAGTTAAGCATTCCTTAGCTGTGCATAGCTCAGCTCAGAGACTCACAGAGCTGAAATCAACCTCTTGGTCAGCCATGCTGCAGGCTCATCCAAAGACCCCGCTTCCAAGGTCACACCTGGCAGAAGTCACCTCCTTGCTGAGGTGTACTGAGGACCTTGGCTTCTTACTGGCCATGTACCAAGGCAAGTCATAGCTCCTTCATATCGCCTACAATCCCATGTTACTGCTTGCTTCTTTGATCCAGTCTCTGATCTTGGGATCTTGATCTGAGAAGACCTGGTCTGAGCTTTATTATGAAATCAGGATCAGATCCACTCAGGGTAATCTCCCTTTTCATCAGCTCAAAGCCAAACAGTTTGGGATGCTAAGTATATCTGTAAAGCACTCATCTTCCTCCAGTAATAAAGGCTAATCAAGGTTTCGAGGAACTTTGTTGTGAGGCTGGGCTGACAGAAGTGGTACCCTAGATGTGGTTGGTATTTACTCTCCGTGAAATAAAATCAAAGGATGCTCAGGGCTCAAGGGCAGCTCCGGGCTCAGGCAGAGACTGTTTCAGGTCTCATCTGACTCTCTTGGTTGGGCAAGTTTTGTCATTTTACTTTATAGAAGACTAAATGTGGAATAAATGTGAATTTTAATGGAGACTTTGAACGGCTTCAGATTGTATTCTCAGGAAATGTGGCGAGAAGCTGGAGGAAGAAATGGAGGTGCATACTCAGCCAGAGTTGAGTGAAGTGTGTTTAAAGTATTAGAACCATCCGAAGGAAATACAATGAATGATAGAAGCTGCCCAAATCCTTTTAAAATGGAGGGCAGGGTTCTCTTCCAACACATTCGTATTACAAGATGATTTTTTTTTTGTCTTGTTATTGACACACTGCTCCCTGTCTTGAACTGTAGAGTCCACTCGAGGGCGGCCATTAACGCAGGTCAGGGAGGTGCTTCCCCCAATACCAGAACTTGAAGTCACTTCTGCAGGTCACCAGCAAGATCCATACACATGGTGAGTGGTGCTCAACCTTATTGACAATTTGCCTTGTGCATTGTAAACATGAATGGCTTCAGGGAACTCTGCTTGACCCTCATCAGCATTGCTGTCTGGGTGACAGACATAGAAGTGATAACCCTGAGAAGTCAGCTCACAGGCATTAGGTGACACAAGCTAAAGTTAAAGTGCCCGTTTTCTCCAAGATTTAGGGAGGATCAGAAAACTAATCTCTCAGTCAGTTCAGCTGTCCCTGAAATGTCAGCTCATCTCTTGGCATCACTTGTCTTGGAGTCGAGCCATAAATCAGTCAGAGCACGAGAAAAGCGAACCTGAGACTTGTTCCGTCGAACCCATCCACCTAGTCATTGAAATAAAACTTTAAATTTAGCATCGATGATCTAGATGAATGTGCCCTGATTTAATATATTCTAATCTAAAACTGTGCTCAGAAGTATCTTTGAGATGCTTTTTTCATTCATTCATCAAATATGTACTAAGTAGCTACGTGGCATATGGTCAAGCACAGTATGTAAAGATGGTAACAGAAAGTGTCTCTGGGCACCTGTCATTGTGTTTCATTGTGACTGGCCATGTCACTAAGACTTTATAATACTTGGGAGGTCAGGAGTCCAGTCTGTAGCAGGAAACTGGTGTCTTATTCAAATTGAATAACTCAAGGAAAGTTTAATAAAGGGTCTATTAAGACAAGTTGTGGAAACTCCAGGGAAAAGGGGACACACACACACACACACACAGAGAGAGAGAGAGAGAGAGAGAGAGAGAGAGAGAGAGAGAGAGAGAGAGAGAGAGAAACCTGGCCTTCCTTTTCCAGCTGTGCTAATGTTCTCCACTGGCCAAGGCCAACCAGGGATAGATAGACTAAGCCAAGCTGAGGTGGCTTGTGCAGCCTTTGGCAAGGCACCAAGCAGGTGGAAAGAAGTGGAGAGCAGATCTGGAGAGGTAATTAAAGATCCTGCCCAAAGGGCGAATATGCAAAGTAGAAACCTAGCAGATCCTTTGTGTTCAAGAAGAAATTCTGGCAGGACTTAGTGTGGTCAGGGTCTGCTCTTGTCTAGAAATCTCTAGGTCTGATTAATGAGTGTGCCAAGAAAAATCTCCCTGAGCCCTATGTCTGATTTCCTCCCACGATGGTCTTCATGCCAGAACAGTTCAAGCTCACAGTTAAACACGCTCCACTTTAGTCATTTGCCTCAAATATGAATGTTGTGTCAGGAACTCTACTCCTTGGCAGTCAGTGGAGAAATCAGAATAAAGAAACTGCAATCCCAGTGACAAGTGTAAAATAACACGGGGTCTAGATAGAGATGACTGTAGAGCCGATAGTCAGAGGACAAGACACCTAGCATTTGCTAGATCCTAAATAAATACATGGAGTGGAAGAATCATTCCATTGCTGTCCTACCATTACCATGGGCTGTCTTAACAGTAAGGGATCTGCAATAACTCTTATGTTTCCATTGAGAAGATGCCCAAAAGTCCTGTGGTAGCACAGACAAGAGGAATCCCTAGGTTTCCTCTGTCCTATGCTTGCAAGTTTCTCATCACTCCAATACTGTCCTTATAGGGATATACTAGGAGCATCACTGTATAGCACAATAGTGGACAGAGCCCCTAGTTAGTGACAGAAGGAAGGTATTTCACATTATAGGATACAGTGTTTGAAATGAATGACTTAATGTTTCTTACAAATTCTAATTTTAGACAGTACTTAATAAATTATTTGTTTTTAGTAATTACTTAATAAATACTTGTTTTGCATTTTAAAAAACTTTCAGGCTATCCTTGGACAATCTGGACCAATGACTTTGAAGAGTTTGGGCCCAGCTGAGAAAGTACTGATAGGTGAATGGCAGCGATGAGATCCTGGTAGATGAGAGTCAACTGGAGAGTGTCTATCTGACCCACGAGATCACAGGGACAAGAGTGTGTCAAGAGCTATGTGAGCCAAGGAAGACAAGCTTATGGAGTCCATGGGAGAGTAAGAGAGTGCTTACCTTTTCCACCCATCTGTATCCTGCTCAGTGTGGCCAAGAGTGACCTAGGATGAAATTCCCCTTACTCAGTTATGTCACAGGTGCAGGATGGTTTTTCCTACACAGATGGACAGTTTCTATTCGGTAAATTACATAAGAGGGCCTGTGTATTTGTTCAACATTTGTTTACATTTATAAATCTTGCCTCTTTTTGGCATAAGACTGTTTTTTTGTTTTTTGTTTTTTTTTTAATTCAAGGACACTGAAATAAAAACAACTCAAATGAAATGCCTTGAGTATTTAAATGTGATAGCAAATGTTTCCTCTGCTTCTTTTGGCTCATATTTGTTATAGCCACCATGGATATCATGAATAAGCATAGGTATCACTTTCAATAAGAAGCATGCATAGACAAGAGGACAGCTCCTCATATTGAAAAGGAAACCAGTTATCTCCCAGAGTTTAGAAGGAATGTGGTCTTCTAATATGATTGTGTGACTAAAGCTGTGTATCTAAACAGCAGAAGTGAGGAAGACACCCTGAGCTCCCTTGGCCCAACTCCCACAAGGCAGGTCAAATAAATTCCTTCCTGACCATCTTCAGAAACAGAGTCTAAGACCCAGTGGAAGATGTGAGTCTCTTATTCCCAAGCATAAGCAAACAGCATCCTTATTCCCATAGATTCAGGCAGTTGTAGAAATCGAGCAAACAGATCTTGCTAAATCCCTTCCCCATTAATCTTCATCACAGCACACAACTTTTGCCCTATCATGTTCTCTATCAATCTCTGTTCTTCACCAAACACACTCATGTCTTGGGCTGTGGAGATGGCTCAGTAGATAAAGTTTTTGCTGTGTAACCAGGAGGACACAAGTTCTAATCCTCAGCTCTCACAAAAAAAGCTACTTACAGACCTGTAACCCTAACACTGGATAGTGGAGAGAAATAAATCCTGGGAGGTTGTTGTCTAACCAAAACAATCAACTCCAGACTCAGTGAGAGACACCGACTCATAAAACGTGGCGGAGGGCTGGTGTGATGGCTCAGCAGGTGGGTTGCTTTCTGTCAAGCCTGAAGACTCAAGTTTGATCCCTGGAACCCACACAGTGGTAGGAAAAAAATAACTGACTTCTTCATGTTGCTCTCTGACCTCCAAATGTGCAAAGTGGCATGTGTGTATACAGATACATACACTAAATAAGTATTATTAGTAATGACAATGATAAGGAGAATATAATAGAGGACAATGCCTGCCATTGTCCTCTGATCTCTGTGTGTACATGCATGGGCGTGTGTTCCTACATACATGTGAGCACATGTGTGAATGCTCTCTCTATCTCTCTCTCTCACACACACACACACACTCATTGTTTGGTTGTCATTTTCATATAAAGACTGTTGGGCCAGCTACGATTTATTTGAATAAGTTAATATGTTCTTCTTGTTAATTTTTGTTAAGTGGATCTCAGACATGGACTTAGAATGGTAGAAGGGAGGGAGGGAGAGAGAGAGAGAGAGAGAGAGAGAGAGAGAGAGAGAGAGAGAGAGGAAGGGAGGGGGGAGATGCAGAGCACGATGATCAGGCTTGGTAGCAGACACCCTTACCCACAGATCCATCTCTTTGGCACTTTCCCCCTCCTTTCTTACGTAAGAGGAACATTTGTATAAGAATGTGGTAATCCTCATTTCTAGGTCACAAACTAAAATGTTAATTTTAAAATTTAGGAGCTGGAGATTTGGCAAATAAAACTCAGTCCATCTTACTCTTTCTGGGTATCCCTAATTAATAGATGAGTCAGCTTGGGTGTCAGATATTTATGCAGGGGTTTAGGCTTCCCACATGATGAAGTATGGGTATTTTACAGTTTCCAAAGAGCCAAATTACTGTTCTCTTCACGTTCCCTATTATGCTCTGACAAATGACTTGGGAATCCATGGGAGCTTGGCTTATAACAGGCATACATTAAGTTTCTGGTTCTGTTGGACTGTAGCACCTTTCAGAGAGCTATTTCACTAACTAACATTCACTATTACTCTAATGAACAGTGAAACTGTGCAAAGGCATAGAGAGATAGTACTTTGTCCATGGGGCACACTGCTACACACCAATGAGCTGGTGATTGTGCTGGTGTACTGAAAGAATTCAAGCTGACAGAATTGCTTCCTGTTGTGGGGAATCCCTTCTCAGGAAGGTGGCTTCCTCTGGTGTCTCAGAATCATCAATCTTTCTGGGTATATATATTCCTCCACACCCTCCTTTGCATGGCTATTATTTACAATTATTTTTGTAGTTGTTCATAACTGGTTTTCTCTTTAGACCAGATGATGCATGGGGGCAGGGAACATACCTGATTCTGCACACTGGAGCATATGGTCCAGCTGGTATAGCGTTTAGTTCACAGTAGGGTCTGGATGAAGAGCCATGTGTGGAGCTCTCACCAAACATGAGTCATGTGTTGTCAGTTTCAAGTCTTCTTCACAAGGACTCATATGGAGACAGGTGCTATTTTCTCTAAAAAGCTCTGACAAAAGAAGCTCACTAGTTGCTTTCCTCCTCAGGTTGGCCTACTTGTGTACTGCCTCCATGCGCGTCAGGCAGAGGTAGCTGAAGGAGCAAGGCAGATGGAGGAGTGCCTGAGAGAGGAGGCTATAGCCAAGACCATCATGGAGCTCCTCTTCTGGGAGACCAAGGGTGTAGTGTGAATCCATGAATCTGATAAAGGTTCTCTCAGGAATGTATTTGGGTATAAAATAGTGGTCAACACTCAATGATACAGAACTGGTTAAACACCACTGCTGTTCCAACTGCCTTTGTCAAGTTGTTCTGTCCAGGAGTGAAGAGCAAACCATCTGCTCTACTCCCAAGGGAGCACATGAGCAAAAGAGTGACAGACCTCTCCCCTTCGGCTTATAATTTGTCATGTAGCGGGCAAAACCATACCTTAGGGCTTGTTGTCCCAAAAGTCATTGGCTAAATGGATCGAAACTCCACAACACAAGGGACTGGGTAGAAGGTATCTTGCAGGACACTTCAGATTGTGATTGCTGCCTAGCCACTGGCTCTGGACATCTCCCTGAGCCGGATGGCTCTGCTGCCACCTCCACTCAATTAATACAAGTTAAAATAAACCCAGGGTCCTTAACGCCTTCCATAAGTCATGGCTTCCTGTAGATAACACTCATAGTGTTATCTCATAGTGTGCTATGAGTTTTGACTGGTCCAAACTTGACCAGACTCACTCCATGGACTTTGCTAATAGCTTAGACCTTCAATGAACAATAGTTATCTCTAGATTATGGGGAGGGGCAACCATGCCCTGCTGACAGGGACTCACTTCTTTCAGCTCTGTTCCTCACCTGAAGCCCTCATCCTGACTGATGATAAATGAGTTGCAAGTTCACTAAATGGACACTTATAAGGGGATAGGATTTCAGGGTCTTCTAACCATACCAGGGTCTTCTAACATGATGATGATGCCCTTTAATAAACATGGTAATGAGTACTGTACATAAGAATTCATCACAGTCATAAAGAAAATGAAAACCTTAGGAAAACTGATAGATATGGAAAATATTATATTAAGTGAGGTAACCCAGGTCTAGGAAGACAAATACATGTTTTGTTTTGTTTTTTTTTTTTTTTTTTTTTTTTTTGTTTCTCAAATGGATCCTACCTGTTAATGATCATATATAGCTATGTGTGTGTGGGGGGGGGGGTGGCATGAGATGGAAAGGGGACCACAAAAATAGAAGAAAAAAAAAAGAGGTGTTGAGGAAAAGGGTAAGGTAGTAGAGTACATGTGACATAAAAGAATTAAAAATAAATGCTACTGAGGTAAAGAGATACAAGGGGCTAGGGAAGAATGGAAGGGAGAAGATATACAGAAACAAGTTATGCTTGAAAACTGTAGTAAGATATTCACCTTGTCTGCACCTGTGGCATAGACCACATCCATTGGGGGTGGAAACAGGGCTGGGTGACCTAGGGGACTAAGGCTGAGGAGGGGGCTCGGAGAGCTCTCTTGCTGGCAGCACAGGGACAGGAGTAAATCCAGGGGCATCCTTGGGGCCAGGAACCTGCTGGTGTTCATCTGTCTATGTTGTGAGTTATTTCTCCCTGAATAAACAACTATTCGGCCTATTTGTTTCTCCTGATCCTTATTAAACATCAATAGAAAACACTATAATGAAACCAACCAGCTCAGCCCACAGTTGCTGCCCATCATGAAGGGAAGTCAGAGCAGGAACTCGAGGCAGGAACTGAAGTAGAAGCTGTGGAGGATGCTGCTTACTCCCCCGGTTTTCTGATACTACTCAGGACCACCTGCTCAGTGGTGGCCCTGCCTTCAGTGAGCTGGGCCCTCCCACATCAATCATTAACCAAGACAAAACTCCACAGACCTGTCTACAGACCAATCAGATGGAGGCATTTGCTCAATTGAGCTGCCTCTTCTCAGACTACTCCTGCTTGGCGGAAGTTGACAGAAAACTACAGGTGGCAAGCTTAGGATAGCTGACGTGGAAGGCATGCTTGCATTCTAAAAATCTGGCTGTAATCTGGAGACAAGGAAAAGTACTTCCAGGTTCCAGCTCTAGTCTGCCTGCCAAGACTGTGGTTTTGCTTATTTATTTTAACTTAATAACCATCTAATAAACTCATTTATAGCAAATAAAAACATCAAAATATAACATGTTATCAGATAAATTTAGAGGTCTAGATGATTTTTAAAGCATTTAAACAATGCTTTTAAAAATGTCTCTGTGAGAAAGGGGATAGGATAGGATAGGGGACTTGTGGGGACCAGGGAAGGAAGGGAGGGAGAGGGAACTGGGATTGACATGTTTAAAAAGCTTGTTTCTAATTTAAATAAAAAATAAATAAAATTCCTCTGTGAATTATATACTTATGCCCTGGGAATTATGTACATCTGTAAAGGTAGAATGGTTGGTCTGGACGTTCCTGTGAAATGAAAGAAAAGATGTAGCATGTATGATCAGGCGGGCAAGAAAATAATACTTCAAAAATCAGGGCTGGAGAGATGGCTCAGTGGGTAAAGAGCTTGCCATGTAGTCAAGGGGCTGGAGTTTGGATTGCTGATACCCATGTGTATTTGGGCACATGTGGCAGCCTGCCTATAACCTTTGTACTCGCCCTAGAGCAAGCCAGTTAGTGAGACTAGCCAAATCAGTAAGCTCTGGGTTCAAGTGAAAGTGTGCTTCAGTGTATAAGGGAGAGATGAATTGATGAAATTGTCAGCATCAACCCCTGGCTTCTACCCTCT